AGGAGGAAAGGAGGGGGAAAGAAGATGAAGCAGAGAAAGAGAAGAGGAATTAAGAAAAAAGAGAAAAATGAAATAAGCACTTACACTCACACACTACGTACTAATCCCCCCCCCCCCCTCTCTCTATCTACTCCAGCCCGCGCCTCGGAGGAGGATCCTCGGATATGGAGCTCCTCAAGGAGTACTTCACCGCGCAGAGGTTGGGTCTCAAGGACGAGGTGGACTGCGAGGCGATGTACGGCACCTGCCCCGTCAGCGTCTTCCGGTACTTCGATTCCCTCAAGAACATGACGGCCGCGCAAGACGCCAGCTCGCAGAAGAAACTTTACGATTTGCATGTCTTGTAGGTGAAGGCGATCGTCGCTTTTGTGTCGGAGGTCACGTTTTTTTTATACCGTTGTTATTTATACTATTTATTATTTAATGCGTTTTCGTACTTTATTTTCTAGTAAATGTAGCAAATAAAATTAGTGAAATCACCATGTATATTGTTAGTAATACTGAGTCAATATCAAACAATATTTTATTTATTGAAAATTTTCTGCCGCGTCAACATTTAAGGTCATTAGCAGCGTAACATATGGCGACATGATGAGGTTTGAGGGCAAAGCCCCCAAGAAAGTTTTCCAATTCAGTAAGATGTTTGTGGATTTCCAGAATTGTCACAGCATTATGGCAAAATATTGTGGCGAAAGGGAAGGAAAAGGAAAGAGTAAGAAAAGATCCAGCAAAATTGTTGAGGCGAGGGCGGAGGTCCGAGGCAGGGCGATCCCTACATTGGGCCTCAGTCTCCGCCTCCTAAACCCCCTCGGCAACAAGAAAGGGATTGGGTATAAAGGGAAGCAATTTACGAAATCAGACCATCTGTCGTAATGATGGGAGTAAGTGCTCTTAAAATTTAATAATCCGATATTAACATTCATCTGCCCACCTAGTCTTTGTTTATAAAATTTTCAGCATTTTCCGATTTGAGAACAGAGCATGAAAGTGGTCAGAGGTTTTCGGCATAATGGTAAATATTAGTTCAAATGTTGAATCTTTAATTTATTATTTAACGAGGCAAGCTAGACAACGATCCTGTTGTTAAAGCAAACACAAAAGCGCAGACTTGGGGGGTATTTGTTATGTTCCAACTTAACATCTCAATGTCGCACGTTTATACTCGAGTCAGCACTTCAGCTACAGTTTCATTGCAAAATGAGAACTTGTCCTGCGACCATTCTATTCATATTTAGTCTGCAAGTATTTTATTTTATTTATTGATTTTTTTTTAAAGATTTCTGCTGCGTCAGCTCCTACGGCGTTTTCAATATGTAGCAACAGGGTGAGACATGAAGCGAAGTTGTCAAAAATAGAAAAGCAAAGGTCACCCGATGTGGGACGATCCCTTCTATCATCTACAGTACTTTGAAATTCCGAAGGGGGCGAGTTAATTTCAATGTGATTACGGTTGCATTGCATCTAGCATGGGAACAATCATGGCTCACAATCATTTCTTAACCGACCAGGAAAACTTTAACTTCTATGATTCTCAATTACAATTTGAAACATTCACATGAAAAGAATTATTACCGTAGGATGCAATATTTCTCAAGATTTCTTAGTTAAGAACACATGGATAGACATGTTCATGTGATTTATCCTACACACTAATAATTTGCTTTCCAAAACATAGAAAATTGCCATATGGAGTCTTTGAACAACGGTGTGATGCATGAAGCTGTAATGTTTTTTATTCTCATTCAGCAAGTTATTTTCTGAATTTTCCAATCTGTAAGTACACAAAAATGAGATGACACCAAAAAACACACAAAAAAAAAGGATAAAAGAAAAGACATCCGAATTATATTTCCTTTTACTAAAGCAACATGACTGATTCTTACTTGTCTGCAACAAGACCCTTTTTCAAAAAGAATTGTACACAATATATGATGGTTGAGGTTCCGGTGATGATGAAACACACGCAAGAAGGGAGAAAGTTCGAAGAGGAAGGAACATGATTTCTTGGAGGAAGAACACTGCTCCACGTACAAGATTCATCCGAGAGAAGACTTAAAGAGACAAAAAATAATAATAATTAAGGAGAACAGACAAAAATGAAGAGGACAGTACCCGCCGTGAACTTGGAAACGAGGGTAAAAACATTATACCAAAAAAGCTGAATAAATGAGATGACACAGAAGATTCCTACTACAAAAGACAACAAAAATAAATAGGTGCGACATATAGCAAGGGCTAGTACACGCCGCGTGTCCATAGGGTATATATATATATCTTATAAGTATATATATATTTATATATATAAACACATATATATATGACATGCCCCTCTACCACCCGTATGGCTTTTAATGCCTTGGCGTTCACTACACACGCACACTTTCGTTTCTTTGACTTCTTTACTCAACATTTTAACAAATATCTTTAACTTTTAAAACTACTTAACAACAGAATGGGCATTTCAACACAGCCTCGTATCATTTCTTGGTGGTTTCTATTAAAAAAAAAAAAAAAAGTAAATATCATCAAATAACATAATAGTAATTCCCTCAAAAAAACAGAGGTGTTCCAGGTATATATACACTGGGGTAGGGAGGGTGAAGTCAACACTGCCTTTAAACTAAGAGTTGGATGGGTTCTTTTTCTCAACGTGACACTCATTACCGAGAGAACACAACGTTATTTCACAGCGAGACGTGGCAGTTCCACACGCACATGCACACATGAAGAATCTTGTCTAAACGCTGAAGACTATGATGAAGGCAACTGATTTGCAATGGCTCATCAAAAAGTCACACCTTTGCCAGCATGTGATACAGCTTTTTGAAATTAATGATACAAGAGAGATGCATCCTCAAGGTATAGACTATCACCTCCATACAGTCATAAAATAATGCCCAAGCCATCCTCAACTCACAGCTTATGAGCACGGCCAGTTCTGACTGACTTATTATGGACAATTTTTTTTCCTCTTCTTATGAACTGAATATGACTTTAAGTTTACTTTCTGGAATAAATAAATACAAAATTGTCTTGCACATGTTGCTACAATATACTATACAGGTGACATCATTTACCTGTTAAGTTTTTAATGAGCTGAGAAATAATTATTTACATTAATCACTACCACTATACATTAAAAAGAGAAACCTAAATTACAAAAAAATAATGATGACAATAATAAAAATTATGACATACTACAGCAATTACAATATAAAAAGGGGCAAAGAAAAAAAAAAAAGATAAAGAAAAATGATAAAAGGCAAAGTTTAGCACAAAACTACAACAGCAGGATCTGATACGTGGTGCTAACACAAAGTGCAGTGTGGAGGTAGGGCAGGCCCAGGCACCAAGCCACGCAAGGCAGGGCAAGTCAAGCGACCTCATAGCACTAGCTAATAGGAGGATCAATATAAACAAAATAATAAATAATAATAAAAAAAGAAAAAAAAAAAGAAAAAAAAAAAGAAAAAAAAAAGAAAAAACAAAAAAAGAAAAAAAAAAAAGAAAGAAAAGAAAAAAAATGCAGGGACTTAGCATGGCTAATTGTCCCTACTTGGGCATTGGTGGCATCTTGCTATATAAAAATATAATCTCTCTTTCCTACTTACAATAACCGTTTGTATTTACACGGCCCATAGCACAGGCTATTGCGGACCAAGGCCTCTGTGACACTTCCATGATAGGAATGTGCACTGGGGAGTATCACATGGACAGTGACACACTGGGCAGCCAAGTGCCAAGCAGCACAGCACTGAACAGCATCACACTGGACAGGATAACATCTCAATTTTCATACTCTCGAAGCAAGACTTGAACAATGCTACTTTCGGAAGCATGATAAATAAAAAGTGCCACACTGAACAGGGTGATGCCAATACCACACCAACACATGCTGTAGGGAACGTGCAGTTCTGCGAGGTCCACAACAGACAAACATCCATCATGCCAGTTGCAGGGGTACAAATTCTGCTCAAGCAAGTGATATAATGCCTCCGTGAACTGCCATCACACTACTGCACGTGCCAACCAGCATGCCAGCGCAACACCAGAGCACACACTGGACTGAGCGATCATGCATTTTTGAGCAACACAAACTGGCACAAGTGGCCACTGGCATGGACCACGCACCACTCAGAATTGATTATGTGATGCCTGCATACAAGTAAATCATCAAAAACAAAGAAAAAACTAACATAAAAAGAAACAGGCATATTTGCATGATACGCAACAATCTCAGTGTACATCTTCAATTTTTTTTCATTTTGTCAAAATAAAACCCATTAACTACTTTCATGTAATCAGAATAAATATCACAGATGGCCTTCAAAAATATCATGTAGATACAGGCAACACAAAGTTGCTCTGTACAATTTATGAGCTTCTTTTAAGTGGTTTACTTTACGTAGTAAATAGGCACTGTGCCAAGCTTCCCAGAAATCACCCGTGAATAAACTTGAAAGGGAGGTTCTTTTTTTTACTACTACTTTCAGCCAGCCATATCATCAAGAACCCTATTTCCCTTCCAATCTGACATTTACAAGAACACAAAACACCCTTGGTAAATATATGTTACAGAAAAAAAAGAAAATTAACAAATAAAATTTTTAAAAAATAATAAAGGACAAAAATCAATCAGGCCCAGTGGCAGGGGTACAAATTCTGCTCAAGCAAGTGATATAATGCCTCCGTGAACTGCCATCACACTACTGCACGTGCCAACCAGCATGCCAGCGCAACACCAGAGCACACACTGGACTGAGCGATCATGCATTTTTGAGCAACACAAACTGGCACAAGTGGCCACTGGCATGGACCACGCACCACTAAGAAACAGGCATATTTGCATGATACGCAACAATCTCAGTGTACATCTTCAATTTTTTTTCATTTTGTCAAAATAAAACCCATTAACTACTTTCATGTAATCAGAATAAATATCACAGATGGCCTTCAAAAATATCATGTAGATACAGGCAACACAAAGTTGCTCTGTACAATTTTATGAGCTTCTTTTAAGTGGTTTACTTTACGTAGTAAATAGGCACTGTGCCAAGCTTCCCAGAAATCACCCGTGAATAAACTTGAAAGGGAGGTTCTTTTTTTTTACTACTACTTTCAGCCAGCCATATCATCAAGAACCCTATTTCCCTTCCAATCTGACATTTACAAGAACACAAAACACCCTTGGTAAATATATGTTACAGAAAAAAAAAGAAAATTAACAAATAAAATTTTTAAAAAATAATAAAGGACAAAAACTCCATAATTAAGAAGCTCAAAAATTATGGTTTCAAAAATGAGTGGACTAGATAGTTTGGAGGCACCAGACGTTCATCGTGCGCAGCTCCTAATGAGAGACAGGGTTCAATTCTAACAAACAGTAAGATGAACATCAGAGGGCAATGATCACTGCGACCACCCCAAGAGAGCTGGCCTGTCCCATGTCCCAGGAATTCCTGTCAATTGCCCTCCCCCTTCCTTGATACACTTATCTGTCTGGTGATACAACTCTGATGACAAATATATATGTAGATATATATATTTTTTAATATGTATGTATATAGCTGCAAAATTGATAAATCTTCCTGAGCCTCCTAAATCACCACAAGAAACACTGTCATGCAGCAAACTATGATACAATCTAGAAGAACAAGCCTGACAATATACAATAAGGAGTTACTGTCAGGCAGTCCTTGGATGAAGTTGCTTTCTGCAACAAAACATTATTTAGAATTACTTTGCTCAAACTCCCATCTCCCAACTTACACACACACCAGATGCTGTGCTACTGTTACACATCTCTCTCTCTCCCTAACGCTTAAAAAGCGCTCAGGCATAATCACACTTATTCTAATATAAAAGAAAAAACAACAAATGGCCTATGCTCAAATCAATTAGTGATGATGCTAGTACAAGATAACTTACTAAAGTATCAACAAAAAAAAAAAGAAAGAAAAAGACCACTGTCAATCCTGCACCAATGCAGCAACACTGGTGTGGACCTAGAACAAGCAAACACTAACCAAGACCCCTTCCTCAGGGGTGTTTGTTGCTTGCACTCCACACTAAAAAAAAAGAATCTTTCCCTCCATGATCTTATGAAAAACTGAAGTATTGTAACCTCACTTTATAAAGCTACAGGCTATTTCAACATTTTTAAAATGCAAATCTGTCTACTTAACCCAGATAATTACCAACAGATCAAAGGTAATGCTTCAGATGGTTAAATTGAATGCAATTCCATTGCTCTAGATGAACTTTCCTCCTAATAAACAAAACCACACATCTATCATAATCTGATGGGACAAAGCATACCAGTCAAGGAGCAGCTCATGATCTTGGGCATACACCCACAACTTGCTAGGCAACACGCATGCGTGCACAAAAAGAAAAAAAAAAGAAAAAAGAAAAAAAAGACTGACCTTAAAACACTTTAAGAGACTCAAAGAAAAAGAAAAGAAAAAAAAAGTAAAAAAAAAAACAAAAAAAAAAAACATTTAGATAAAAAATAGGAGACATATCACCTATACAAAAATACAAGGGAAGAAGGGGGGGGAAGGGCACTGGGGGTGGCTTGTGACCATTCTATCATCCATGCCAAAGATGAGGCGACCAGGGGTGCTGCCTCGCCCGGTCAGCAATGAGGGTGCCGGACCACTAATGAGGTCTCATGAGCTGAACAATGAGTACCAGACCAACACAGTAATGAAAAAAAGAAAAGAAAAAAGAAAGAAAGAAAAAAAAAAAGGGGGGGGGGGCAGGGTGAGGGGGCATATCACCTGATACATTCATAATAATCATTTGGGAGTATCACCATGACTTCTGTAGCTTAGGACAAAAAAAAAAGGGGGAGGGGGGGAAGAGATAGAGTGGGTGCATGGGCAAGGAGGGGTAAGGAGGGGTAAGGAGGGCAAAAGGAGGGAGAGAATTCCAAAACTGAGGGGAGTGGTTCATTAGATGGCTTTATAAACTCAGTGGGGAGAGGACAGGGGAGGGGGTGAGGGGATGCCAGTCACACTCTGGGAACCAAGGGTAAGGAAGGCAAAAGACAGAAGGCAAAAGGTGGAGATGGGAGAGGGGAGGTGGAGGTAGGAGGGAGAGGGGAAAGAGGAGGGTGAGAGGAGGGTGGGAGCAGGGAGAGGGGGTGGAGGGGGGGAAAGGGAGGGAAAAGGGAGAGGGGGTGAAGGAGGGAAAAGGAAGAGGGGGTAGAGGGGGGAAAGGAGAGAGGGATAGAGGGTGAGAAGAAGGGGGGAGAAGAGAGGAGAGATGAGAAGGTGGAGATGGGAGGGAACAAGGAGAGGATAGGGCAAGGATGGGTGGAGGTGGGAGGTAGAAGGGGGAAGAGAGGGAGGGTGGAATTGGGATGGAGAGGGGAAAGGAGAGAGGAGGGGAAAGGGGAGGGGAGAGGGAAGCTGAAATGGAGGGAAGATGGGAGAGGGGAGGGCAAAGATGGTTGGTGAATGGTGGAAGGTAGGTGGTGTAGGGGAGGAAGACGTCCCTGGCCCCAGCTGGACCTGGATGCGTAATATACAGGGGGACCGTTACCAGGGCACCATTAGGATCCGCAGAGAGCCGGCAAGATCCACCCGCGGGGGTTTTATGGAGAGCCGCCCACGCCGTGGCCTCCGCTCGCTCCGACCTACAGCGCCAACTGTATTTCCAACAGGTCTCCTTCCACTTCTGCCCGAGTGCCTTCTGACCACATTCTAGTGCAGAGGGGGGCAGGACAACAGCCAAGGGATTAGGGATGTGTTTGGGGGGGGAGGGGGGCACGTCCTGCCCACCCACATTCCCCACTCGGGCCTGGGAGGCTGGGGCGGCTCTTTTGTACATCGATCATAGCTGTGCTCCAGTTTGGGGGTCACCAGATGGGAGAACATTCCCACAAGGGGGAGGGACCAAAAAGTATAACAAATACATCTTCAAAAAACATTAAGAAAAAAATAAAATAAATGAAAATAAGGGTAATAATCAATGATGCTAATCAAAACCCAAATACAAATGGGAACCAAGTTAATAATAATGAAACGTATCTCTAGGAAGAGGAAATAATTATAATAACAAAAATTACTATAATAAAAAGGGATCACCGGAGGTGTAACTCCACATAGTAATATACATTCCTGTTCAACAAAATACACAAAAAATGAATACATTATATATGTCACCCTTGGCCAAATATGAGCAATAATGTAAAGACAGTGGTGGTGGCGACTATTATTAGGATGATGATGATTATGATGATGACCTACTCCAACAGTTAATCCTTATCATCTATAATTATACAGAAGAGTAACAGAAGGCATCAATTACTGCAGGGTAACAGTCTACTGTAATCAAATGAAAACACTCAGCCTGGTTCACTTGGGGATATGCTACTGTAGCTACCTATCACATACACACACAAGACCTGCTGTCTTCTAAGCCTAGTCCAGCCTGGCCTTTCTCCCTGGCAGCAGAAGGGCTCCTTGAATGGAACAACAGAGGCTGGCTGGCTGACACAGAGCAAGCCTTTGCAGCCACATCCAGCCATCCCGAGATTTCAATCAAATTTTTTCTTTTACCTTTTTTTTTCTATTTTTTTTATTTATTTTTTTATTTATTTTTTTTTTTACTTTTTTAAATCTTTTTTTTTTTTGTACACAGTCAACATTTACATTCTTAAACCACATACAGGAGGTGAAAACTTTAGTGCACTTTTTGATGCCTATAAATGAATGTTTAAGGCACTAAAGAAAGATCAGAAATTTGATGGACAAAAGACGAGAGGGAGAGAGGAGTAGTGAGAGAGAGCAAGAGAAAGAGAGCAAGATGAGGTGAAAGATACAAAAAACAATTATAAAAAAATAACTGCACACTGCATGATGAAAACTTGAAGGAATATTACAACCCTCAATGCCAGGATTATGAGCCAAATGACCCTCCAAAATTAAAACTGGTGGGAACTGACACTTGCTGGAAGTTGTAACCTGAAAAGAACAAGAGGAAAGTTTAGCAAACTGCAATGAATAAAACCTTTGAATAATCATCCCAGATATAATATAACTAAGATTATGTTATGTGATACAATATGAAATAAATCTTATCACTAGTCACTTTTTAAAGACATTATATAAACAATATTGTTTTATGTTCAAAAATAAATTCATAAATATCTAAAAGACTTTAAATTTCATAATCTATTTCAATCATTAGCTTTTGCATAGCCAGTGCAAGGATCTTATCTAAAATCATCAACAGCTGATGTAAGTAAACTACATCAAAATCATACACAAGAAGGTGGGAAGGAACAGATCGCAAACGCCTATCTGGCCCTCACTCCACCTGCACTCTCCCCCGAACACTTCCTCCCTATCATCCTAAAAGCACTGCCTTCATGCACACACATGCACACACCTCCACTCTGTTGGATCTTCTTGCTTTGGGCTGCAGCTCTCCTCTGATCGGCCAGTGTGCTGATCTCCTGCATTGCCTTCTGCTGATCTGAATTCAGACCTCCCGTGAGGGCCTGGTACCAGGCTGGGGCATTAGCTTCAAGGGCTAGAAAAAATAGAAAAATACATCAGCTTTCTTTTGATAAATCATTAACATTTGAAAAAATAACTATATAATTTTTCATTGTTTTAATACAAGAGGAAGAGAAGGTAGAGGAAAAGGATAGAGAAGAGAAGAGAAAAGACTAAGATGAAGAAGAGGAAGAGGGATAGGAGGGGGAATGAGGATGAAGAAGAGGGGAATGAGGATGAAGAAGAGGGAGGCAAAAACAAGGAAGAGGAGGAGGAGGGAGATGAAGACAAGGAAAAAGAGGAGAAGGGTGATCAAGAGGGTTGAGATGAGGAGGGAGTGGTAGAGGTGGAAGGAAGGGAAGGGGAGGAAGAAGTGGAGGTGGGAGGAGGGAGGGGAGGAAGAGGTGGAGGGGGAAAAGGTGAGAGATGTAAAGAAGAAGAAGGGAGAGGGAGAGGTGACGCAGACAAGGAAAAAGAGGAGGAGGGAGATGAAGACAAGGAAAAAGAGGAGAAGGGTGATCAAGAGGGTTGAGATGAAGAGGGAGTGGTAGAGGTGGAAGGAAGGGAAGGGGAGGAAGTGGAGGTGGGAGGAGGGAAGGGGAGGGAGAGGTGGAGGAAGGAGGAAGAGGAAAAAGATTAGGAGGAAATGTAAGAAGGAAGAAGGGAAAGAAGGGGAGGGAGAGGTGGAGGTGGAAGGAGGAAGAAGGGAAAGAAGGGGAGGAAGGGGAGGGAGAGGTGAAGTTAGAAGTTTTTGAGCTGAAAGGCGAGGGGGAGAGAAAATTGGAAGTAAAGAGAAAGGTGTAGAAAAAAAAAAAAAAGATAAACTAGGAAAGTTAAGAAAAATGTCAACTACTCACCATGCATAACCTCCTTGAAGACAAGATATTCATCAACTTCACAGTCATCTTTATCTAATGGTGTAGTGAAGGACTCCAATGCAGTCTCGTCCCGTTCTTCCTCTAGACCATCATCGTCATCGTCGTCGTCGTCATCCTACAGTGGCACAAAAAATGGATTTTAGACACAAGCCTTCTCTTCCTACAAACACTGCAACACTTGACTGTACTTGGTATCTTTTTTTCCAGAACGTAATAGGTATGGCTCTAATTTGAAGTAGTATAAAAGGAAAATAAATGAAGGAAAAGGTTTCAAAATATAAGCTGCCTCTAGTCCAAACCACAGGGTGAGTTGTGAATACGTTTCATGCAGAAAAGCCGAGTATTCCACACTAAGCTGACCCACATCCTTATAAAGCAGTGTATCAAAATTATTTCTGTGGTCATGAAGCTCACCAACAACCCTTGAACTGATACAAGAATTACCTTTATATTCAATAAAAATGATCAAGATTAACAAGCAAATTCAGGCATTGCAACAACAGGTAGTATTCAACACCTACAACTCTATGCTTTAAATGTTTCGCTTTCTGCAGCTAGGGATCAAGATGCATTAAGTGAACAATAAGTGTAACTCACTGCTATACGTGAACAGATTTAGTGATGATAATAATTACATTAATACTAAATATAAAAAATAATCCTTTCCAACTGAAAAAAACATACATGCTTGTCATCCTGCATAATACTAACAATAAAAACACATTATCTAAGAGAAATTCATACACAACCCAAGTGTCTCATTCAAATATCAAGAAGTTTTATATCTGATGAGATAAAATTGCAAGGTGGCAACATAATTTTCCTTTCTACCTGACCACAACAAAGTTAGTTGCACAGTTACTTCTTGCTTCAAATGTATCATGTTAAGTATCACAAAAAAATGTAAGAAACAAATTATCCAAACATTTTGATATAAATTACACAGCTTATCATCACCAAATGACCTTATCTGATATTTGCTTTTACTACCAACTTTATGGAACAAAAATTCAAAAAGCCATATAGATCACCTTCTTTCATCATGCAAACAAAGGAATCTATTACAGCAATGCCAACTTGTAAAATATGAATGACTAACAGATCTGCCCCGGTGTCATGAACAAGTGAGGGCATTCTCCATTCATTGTCATGCAAATGCCATTTGGAATTGACAAACATGCTGTCTTTTTCTAAACCTCAAGGGGGTTTTAAGATAGGTCTTAGTCTTTAATTAAGACATTTTTAGATTTGTAGCATGCAAAATACACCTCAATTTCTCACAGCCTCAAGTGTTGAACAGCTCTGCCGTAAAACTAAACCTTAGATGCCACTCTGTCTAAAAAATTCACTAGAAATGAATAAACCTTTCCCAATGTAGGAAATAGGTCTACCAGGATGAGCTAATCTATGCATTCAAGAGAGGTTACTTAACTATTATTATTAATAATGAGGAAGAATAAAATAAATGTCAAATACATCTCCAGTCATTCTAGTCTAATAAAATCAACGGATGAAAAATAAACTAAAAATACATAAGCAATTAATATGATGACAATTCATAAAAATATAAAAGAAAATGCACATTTCCTGTCCTCCAGGGTTGGAGCAGGCACCAAGCACACATTCAAAGGATGCACAGATTAACCCAGTGGAAAAACAATTGGGGCAGCTTTTCTGCAGCCAGGCAAGGCTGGCCTGGTGGGTACTCCAGGTGCAGCCGAGGTATACACACACACACCTGCAGGGAGGCACTTATGGCAAACGGGGCACTGGCTGTGGCCTTGTTTACCTTCTCCTCAAGCTTTTCTAAATAATCTTCGCCAGCATCATCAAGTTCGTCTTCATCACTCTCCAGCACCTCTGTGGGGGTTGGAATGAGAAGGGATTGAGCCTCTCTGTGCCTTTAAATATAAAGGCTGTGAAACATATGTATGAGGCAAAAGAAGAGAGATAAGAAAAAGTATGATGGAGGAACAAGAAATTTTTAGAAAAAGTGCAAATGGAAACACATTAACAAAGAGATGGGAGGAAGTATGCATTAACAGAAACAGGGAGAGAGAAGTATGACCTTTCCTACGTAACAGAGAACTGACATGTTTAAAACATTAAGCATTTTAAAATTTCATTTTACTGGATGCTTTAATAAACTTGATCTACTATTTTGCAACTCACCATGCTCGATGTCGTCATCATCATCTTCATCATCATCGTCGTCATCGTCCTCCTCAGCAGCTTTTGCTATTGGGGATGATAAGTTTGAGAGAGAGCTACACAAAATTAACTATTATATCAAATATATCAAGTCAAAAATACTAAAGCACCATACAAATATAATGGGGAAAATATCTTATCATCAGCAGCCTCACCTGCATATGCTCTCTTCAAGCCTTGGAATAAGAGAATCATGGCTGGCAGAATCTCTTTGTGGCATTCCTGGAGGACTCCCAAGCGTTCAGGCCCCAACTGGAGGAGCGTGCACATGCCCAGCACACACACTTTCCGATCGTGGAGGCTGAGGGCCAGAGGTTTCTGTTTAGCCCTTTCTCTAGCTTTACTATTATTTTCATAGATACCCTAACTGGTCACAAGCTGTGGGCGTATCATTAAGGCCCACAAATTCTTTACAAAAATGATTACAAAGGGAATGCTGGATACAATTTCCTTTCAAGATTCTTACCCTCTTGATCTGGAGTTTGGCAAGATCTAAACTCATTTATGTAACCCAATGCCTTCAGGAGAATTTGGGGTATGCTTGGCTCCACTCCAGGGAGTGCACAGGGATGACTGGGCTTGCCTATGGGCTTATTTCAGATTGGGCTGGTGCACTGCACTCAATCACACCACACCAACAAAGTGATACTTCTTTTTAGATGCAAATCATGATTTTAATGTTTTTTTTACATTCAGAGATGCATGATATTTATTTTAGTTGCTAGATCAAACTAAAGTAGCTTGATTATGTAAATTAAGAGTCCATTTCAATAAATTGTAAAAGATGGAATGTGGTTTTATTGAGGGATAAAAATAGATTTTCTTTCATCATTCCAATTATCATTCTTACTAAACATGAGACTGTAAGCAGGCTACTTTCTTTTTTGTGTCATACTTCAAGGCAGTTACACTGGCAGAGCACCAAATGACAATTTGAGCAGTTGACATGAGGAGACTGATCATGTAAACTAGAATGAATATGACATACACGTTCATAGTAACAGCGAGATAGCACAATATTTTTGTGTGCTACATATTCCAGGGATAGTAGGCAAATGATTTATGTACTAATTATTGGCTTTTTCATACAAAAGGCAGAGCCCCATGGCATGTGACAAGTGGGCATGAAGGTACCTTATAAAGAACAGCATGAAATGTAATGCTCGCACCATAGTAAAATGACATGAATGACCTGCCCTCCATAGTTGCAACCAAGTCAGCCATGACAGGAGTAGTACCTCACAGAGGCACAGAGCCATGACATGAACTGCACATCATCCAGAAGCATTGGGTTAATTTTTTAATAACCAATATTTCATACTCAAAAGATGACATTTTTGCAAAACCCAAAAGCTGCATGTCCCTCAGAGCCAAGGAGCTTTTTCCTTTCTCAATGCAGAACTAGCTCTTTTTTCTTTTTCTTAAATAAAAAGTGTATGTGAACATTAGACACTAAACTCAGTCTTCACATAAGATAAATATCTTAATTTTTAATTATTTCTAGGTTTCACCATGATTTAACACAATTCAGATGGGCCACATGTACCGGCGTCATAACAAACCGCTTGTTCTGCGGGGTATGACTGTATGCGCGGCTAAACAAACGAGCCCTCACCCAGTGTCTGGCTGATACCAGAAATCACCAGAGTTTATCACGCTCTGGGATTTCTTACCTGGCAGTGATGGGTTAATTACAAATCTGATACAGAGAAGCTAAAAAAAAATTGAAAGGAAATAATATCCAGAAATCATATTCATGGGAATTTTTTTTTAAACAAAAAACCAAGAAGGAAGTATACCAAATTTCATTTAAAGACAAGACTAGCAATGTTCTAAGTGACCTTTAAAATTCTGTTGCAAAGAATAAACTATCCCAAATAACCCATATGAAAGTGCTGTCACCCTCTAGAACAGGTCTCAGAAATCTCAGGCAGAAAAGAAAAAAAGCAGGGTGGGGGTTACTTACCCGAGGAAGCAGTCAGTGTCATGGATCCACTGCTTTATGAAGTGAGATGTGAGCGTGGTGGTTGTGTTGGGCAAAGTGGTTGACTCAAGCACCTGAAGTAGGGGGTCCGGCGCCGTGTAAAGTGTAGCTATCACAACCTGGAAGGGTGCACCACAGTTCAAAATTCAATTTTTCAGCCAGTGTAGTGGGTGTGGGGATAAGGGAGATTTTCTGATGACTATGGATGATGATAAATGATGGAATAATGAATGATAATTGGTGGAATAATGATGAGTGATGAGTGATGATGAATAATGATAATTGATAGAATAATGATGATGAATGATAACTGATGGAATAATAATGAATGATGACTGATGATGATGGAAGAGGATATTAGGGTTGTAAATATTAGCTATTCCCATTTATTTTTTCATTCTTTTTGGGGTGGAGGTGAAGGGCAAATATGATTTGTCAAATCTGCTACTGTTCTAGGTAATTTGCATTTATCATAGTTGTGAAATAGAATCATGATTGCAAATTGTACTAGAGAAGTATCCACAGCATATTATGTTAGTTATTCTCCTACTTAGGTAAAGAAAGGACCTTACTGGTCACACAATGGTACCCGTAGACTAAATTTCACATTTAGGATTTTGAGAAAAATTCTTTTCTCAACTTCTTGGTCTGAAGGGAAATGAAAATGCAAGGAGGAAATATGAGATGTTACGGATGTCAGTGACATCAGCTAATTCAAGAATACCACTGGCAAAATGTAAAATAAGTCAGGATGAGTGACAAGCAATCCATTACTGGATTTTCAGCACCATGTCTGACATGCCATTGACATCAGTAATGTCTCTTATGTAAGGCAGCTCAATATTATTAGTGCATACTCTACATATAAAAACTTTGAGTTCATAATATTTACATGCATAAACTAAAATATTTCAGCATACACAAAGACAAACATAAATAAACAAAAACATGCAAAACTACAAACATGCACAGGCATACATACAATTTTTGTAAGTGTGTTTTAAAGCATATCTTTACAAAACATACCATTTCCTCTTATTCCTGCATAAATAAAGTTTCACTTAAAGAAGAGACTGACACACTATCATTGATACTCACGCATTCCATCAAATAGGTCACCAAATCAATACATGAAATGCTTCATTACATTTTTTGAAATGTTCCCTTTGATAATAAAAGAACAAAAAATAGACCTACATATTTCTAAAACAATGTAACTATAAAAAATACAAGCCAATCAAGGAATGAATAAATCAGAAAGAGCATCCAAAGCAAAGCAAACAAATTCCTTTCCTCTTCTTCACAGCCACATTCAAGCCAAGCTTCCTCGACCCTCCACCCAATTCCTCCCACAACCTCAGGCCTTTTGAACATTGAACAGGCAAGCAAGTAATCCCGGTCCACCCCCAGGCACTCTTCGCCTAACTCACCTGTAACAGCATCGTTCGCAACTCAGTTGTCTTGACCTCCCTGAGTAGTCTCTCTACCACGAGCTGGATAATGGATGGGAGGCACTGGTTAATGCGGCCCTGGCACTGCAGCACAACCACCTCTAGTAATTTGGCTGCATGGCACTCCTCGTCTTCCGCACAATCCTGGAATTAAAGGTGAAGTGGTGGTGGGATTGTCTGCTACGTATAATCTAATTCGGGATTTAACCCCTTGGATCTGGGTGCTTTGCTGCCCACAAGTGGCCCAAAATATGGACATTAGGGTGTGTGGTGATAAAACTTAATGACTCCCCTTTGGAATATTTTTTCTGCCATTCCAAGGTCTATTTTTGTCATATAATACGCTGTATCAAGATGGTAATAGATGGTTTTCTTTGCACAAATTCCATGTCATCTCTCTAGGTAGTTCATAACTCAATGTAATACTAATAAGTAAAATTGTTTTCTTTATATTTTATAATTTTTTCACAACATTCAACTTTCTGTAATACAACCTGCCAGTCATGGTGGGCAGGAATAGGATTCTGAGCTTGGAAATGGCCTCCTCCCTCTTCCAGCCATGGCTCATGGATGGTACATTTAACACTCAATTATCAATGGAAATAATGCAAGAGCCCCTTCCTACATACCCACTGAGTCTAATCACCCCACTGCATGTTCTCAGCAGCATTGGATCAAGTGTAAATTGTCACTTTCAAATGATGTTTAGAGTATGGTCACTGTTATTGATATTCATTTTCTATTTTTTTTTCCATAGCCTCTTCCTTTTCTCTCTCACTAGTTTTATGATCAATCAATCCTAAACAACCATACCATTTTATGTCCTCTTTCAGTATCTGTGTTGGTTGCACATGTGACAAATCACAATGTACTGAAACAAATTTTGGTTTAAATGTTTCTTCATTAATTTTCAGTATTGGTCTTTCACTACTGATCTGTCACTTTCTGCACTCTCTTAGCAGCATTTATTTAGGTATAAGCTTCTTGTACAGCTCATCTATTTCTGCTACAAGTTTATATGAAGTTAGGTAATTGTTAGCACAGAATTGTCACTAACTTTCTTTCCTAAGTGGCCAAAAAGTTTCACAATCACTTCTGAAACTTCAAAGGGTTTTAGTTTGTTCATCATGAAATCAATGCTACAACACTTGCAAGAACATGTCAAAACAAGTCATATATATACCCAAAGAATATAGATAAAACAGTAAACAGTGATTTGATTGCCATATGTTAAGGAGGAGGAGACGAAAGGAGAGGAGACAAAAGGAAAGGAGAGAAGAGAGGAGGAAAAAAAAAAAAGGAAAAGGGAAAAGGGAAAGGTCAGTAAAGGCATGCAACTTTATAGGGCATTATGAACAACAAAATTTTCTGTATATCTATAAATTTCCAATTACTGAAATACCCTATTATTTATGCCATGTTATGACTGTATTCTTTCCCATATGCTGAAACTGCTTTGAATTGAATGTACAAAATAGTTTACTTGTCTGGCTATGAATGCTTAGAGTAGGATTAAAGTCATTTCTTAAGTCTTTTCTGGAAAATTTATTCGCTACATCCAAAATTATAGAGTGGGAAAATTGTATGTTTCCAGTGCTACTATCTCCCTTGACTGGCTGACTGCACACTGCCCCTGGGGCTCAAAATCTTGTCAGCAACTAGTTAAAACCCTCTTTAGACAAGTTAGATAATCATTAAAATGTATACACTAATAATCACTGAAGACATCTCTGCCCAAGAAAAGTCTGCTACAATGCTTGACAAATTTTCAAGCAGAGCCTATTCTCTATGATGAATCTCATTAGCAATGATTGTGCTTTCACTGTTATCTATACATTGCTCCAGTTCATAAACAAAGTAAACCATTTCCTTAGCCATGCCATGGCCAACATATGGCCACATCTGTTAATTTTTCATATAATTCTGATTCTCAACAACAACAAAAATGACTCTAGCCCTTCTGTTCAGCATTGGTAATAATTTCAGAAGTCAATACCATCTAAAAACACAAAACCATCCCCATGTGTGAACATATGCATAGCAAATGGGGATTTGGGACTCACCTGTGTCAGAATACTCTTGCACATTTCGAACACTGCAGCAACACGAGCTTCACTGCTTAGGAAGCCTTCTGTATCAACGGTGATGTAATTGTGGAGTGCTGGCATCATTTCCGTGAAGTAGTCAAAGCCATCTACCTTGAACATCTGAAAAAGTTGGATGAAACAATAGGTACTACACAAAAAATCAATCGGGATGCAAAACATGGACGTATAAATAAACAAGCTCCACCAATAAACTGACTATAACACTACATCACCTAATGTACATAAAATATCTGATGTTACAACATGCAATAAGTCTTGTCACAGGACTCAGAAACCACAAAGATATAAAATCCACATGGTACTTCATTCCTGTTTTGCTCTGGGTTGATCTTGTAACTTTGATGGCATAAATGCACCAAAAAAGTAAAGATATCAACCTGACCAGTTTGTTTAATTTCTAAGAGTATTCCTGAGTGTATCACAATCCCATAACTTTTGTTATCAAAATTGTTGAATTTAATTGATCAAACTACATGAAGCCCACAAAAAACTTAATTTGTGAGTCATACATTGCAAACATACTGGGGGGGGGGGGGCCTTTCTCACCTGATACATCATTTCAAAGCATTTCCAGAGGTCTGGGGATATCCTCGTGCTGGTGAGACTGTAGATTAGCGCAAGGGCCTCCTCGTAAAACTCTGTTGGTAGAACAGTGCATTCATATTAAAATCAAAATTGATTTGCTTTTTGTAAGAGGACTACTAACATGACAAACACATGACAAAAAACAAGATGGAAAAACTAGGTAAATAAATAAAATAGAATAAATAAATGAATAAATAAATAATAAACCAGACATTCAAAGAGCCCACCATACCACAATCTATGCAGGCTTCAACTAACACCCTTATATGCTCACCCATAACACTTTTGCTGAGGATGAGGCCAACCACCTGGAGGGTGATAGGCTCGATCTGTGCCATGATCTCTGGGTTCTCCTCCATGCAGTTGATGAGAGTCTCTATCGTGCTGAGCAATCCCATCGCTGTTATGGCCTTTTCGTCTGCTCCATCCTCCGAGTCCACCACCTGGTAGAGGAAAATTACACAAGGATTGGTATCTGTTGCCATAACAGGATGTAATTACTACAGACATAAGTATGGCTTAATACTTAACTCACCAAATTTGGAGAACTTTATCAAATGCAATTATCTTCTTGTTTCTCAAAGCATAAGAATAAATTTTGGGATCACAGTAATCTAAACTTTCTCAATCTGCTAATACAACTACTTCTGAGAAAAAAATAATACAATTTTCACCTACTTAATGAATATAATTATATGTTTTACTACTGCATGATAAAATTCTTTTAAAGATTTATAAAAAAAAACTATAAAAAAAGAAGAAAAAAAGAAAAAACTAATTGAAACCTACAACTGTTAATGGAGGGGGAAAAAATATGCAACAAGAAAACTTATCTAATACTTTGAAAAACATCAAATCTTTATTAAGGCTGCGCAAATTGCTTTGTCTTTATCTAGTTCTCTTACTTGTAGCAGGACTCAGACACCACAAAGGCAAGGTACAAATCCACATGGTACTTTATTCCTGCTTTGCTCTAGGTTGATCTTGTAACTCTGATGGTGTAAGTGCACCGAAAAAAGTAAAGATATCAACCTGATCAGACTGGTTTCATTCCATTTTTAGGATCACATCATTCCTGGGAGTATCACAATGATTAATCTTTTGAAAGTAATTTAAAATAAAGGCAAAAATAATAATACATTTACACTCTTTAAATCCTTAACCTCTTGCTTCTGGGCACACATACAGCCATCATGAAAAGCCAACTTATCATGACGAGAACGGCTACAGGCTTCAAAACGTGCCAGAGCAAGTCGAGCGGGAAGTTCCACTACATGTAGCGGACTCCCCAGTCTAATGGCTGGATGGTTGCCAGAAGTCACCAGAATCAGTGACACGCAGAGATTTCTGGTACTGTCATTGCATGGTTAAACAACAAAGCTTATAGAGCACTATAAAATAAATTTTCCCACCTGTTGGAAGGTAGCAGCAAGCTGTGTGCACATCTCTACTGCAATGGGTGTCAATTGTTCTGTGTAAGTGGTCACAATCTTGCACATAACATTTGTGAGATCATCGTTTTCTGTCTCCTTTATGACCTTGAGTAATTCTTGTACAATGGGTCGGATCTGGGAGGGGGAACAAATGAATCACAATAAGTATTTTTATAAATGCAGTATCTCCTTGACTTAGTTTACTATTCATAAAAAACAACGAGTTTGTACCCAAAGTAGTTATTGTACATTCACCAATTAACAGAGTATCTTGGAGGAAAGAAAAAGATGGCAAGGCAGAAAAACTTACATTGGGCTCTACAATCTTCTCTGCCTTGTTCTGTGATGCCAAGAAGGCAGACAGCGCCATGGCAGCCTCCACCTTGACAGGCAGATCATGATCATTCAAGAGAGCATTTTGGATGCAGTTCATGGCTGCTACAATGTTCTGTTCCGACTTGAATCTAATTTCATCAAAGTTCTGAAGGATCCAACATGCCTGTGGAAAGAATGAAGTCATATGTGAATAATTTTTTTTTCACCTCCCCACCCCCAAGTTTTCTTGGCAATGATGTATCATCATTTTGGAAACTAAAATAATAATGTATTTGGATATACCCACAGTTATGTATTTTTCAAATTCTGAAGAGAAAAGGGAGAAATATAGTATTGACCACTCACTCTAGCTCTCATGAAGCCAAATGGACTCTGGAACTCTGGGAAGACATACTGCGCAATCATAGTTTCCATTTGATCTTTGTATACTCTCTTCTTTAACAATACACCACCCATAGTACCAATCTGTTGAGAAAATATGGGTTTATATACAGCCACACTCACTTTACCAGTTCTTAAGGAAAATAACGGTTTAGAAGTATCATTAAAAAAAACAGGAAGCAAATAACATGTCACTGTGAAACTCCTGTAAACCAACATGTGGAAACTTACCATATGCATGACACCATCCTTGTGTCTTGGGTCAACATTGGGTGTGGTGAGTACCTGCATGAGGAACACCATCGTCTTCTCTAGCATTTCCTTCCTCTTGCGGATGGTCGACAGGAGCAGTGCCTGAGCAGCAGTCACGGGAGATACCAGATCTTCATAGATATCTGCATGAAGAGGAACAGAGGTGTATTATGATTCTGCTTTTTGCAATTACTGATATTTCATCAAAAATGTTGTTTATAACTTACCTACTATAATAGTTTCTTGACATTACCATTTTTACAAATTAATTCTTACTTTTCATTCACCAACATCTCTAATAGAAGATATAATAAATTGAAAGAAGAGGGAAACATCAACTCACCAAATTTAACGCGAACATATTCATAGGGGTCAGAATTCCACAGTTCCTGATCAGAGTCTGAGTAACACATAAGAGGGAAGAGAACATGCTGAATCACCGAGAGCATGTGGGGCTTCAGAAGCTTCCAAGCAACTGACTGTCCCACTCTGGAAAAAATAATAAAATCTTTCAATAAGCTATTCTCTCTGAATTCTTTATGGCAGAGATAAAAGGGCACTAACTGATTTTTCCTACTGTTCGAAGATAATCAAATAGCCAACCTATCCATGATTTAGAGGGGGAGAGAGAGATTCCTCATCTAACCTTGCCTCTTTATTCTTAAAATCATATAGCATTATTTCTCTTCATTTCAGCACCAACCTAACATCAAATTGAAGCTTTGGAAGTCTTAACCAAGAAGTGGGGGAGGGGGTTCTAACTCACATAAAAAAGGAACCTTACCCCTGCTCCAGATAATTGAGAGTCTGCTGTAGGACACGTGGGGAGATGTACACTTTGTTGCGGTACTGGTCTAGGATCTTGAGCAGTACCTGAAGGATACCCTGAGAGAAGGTCTTGATGAACCATTCTGCAAACTGCTTGTATTCCTTGCCTACTGTGCTAGGACAACCATATCTGTGGAAAAAAGTATAAATTATATATACACATTGATATACACTAATGGAAAGTTAAATACACACATTTATTCAAATTGTTTTATAGGGAATCAATGCAAAGCTAATATTACAAAATCATATATAATTGGAAAATCAAGACCTGAAGGAGAAGGAAAATAAGGAGGACCAAGAAGGGGAGGAGGGATGGAGGAGGAACTGGAGCAATAGGAGGAGGAAGTAAGTGTTAGGAATTAAACATGCATACAGCTATACAATTACACAGCAAAAGCTATTCAATTTTCATTTTGGAAAATGCTAACACATTGGAAATGAAAAGCCATTTTCATTTTGGAAAATGCTAACACATTGGAAATGAAAAGCCATTTTCATTTTGGAAAATGCTAACACATTGGAAATGAAAAGCCATTTTCATTTTGGAAAATGCTAACACATTGGAAATGAAAAGCCATGGGGAAAAGGAAATTAAGGAAAATAAGATGGGAGAGGGAGAAGGAGAGGAGGAGGAAGTGGAGGAAGGAGGAGAGAGGAGGGAGGGAATAGGGAGGGAGGGAAGGAGGGAGGGAATAGGGAGGGAGGGAGGGAGGGAGGGAGGGAGGGAAGGAGGGAGGGAGGGGAAGGAGGGAAGGAGGGGAGGAGGAAGAAGGGAGGGAAGGAGGGGAGGAGGAAGAAGGAAGGAGAAGGAGAAGAGAGAGGAGGCAGGAAGGGAGAAGGAGAAGAGGAGGAGCAGGAAGGGAGAAGGAGAAGAGGAGGAGCAGGAAGGGGGAGAAGGAGAAGAGGAGGAGCAGGAAGAGGAGAAGGAGAAGAGGAGGAGCAGGAAGGGAGAAGGAGAAGAGGAGGAGCAGGAAGGGAGAAGGAGAAGAGGAGGAGTAGGAGGAGGAGAAGGAGAAGGAGAGGAGTAGGAGGAGGAGGAAGGGAGAAGGGGAAGAGGAGGAGTAGGAGGAGGAGGAAGGGAGAAGGAGAAGAGGGAGGAAGGGAGAGAGTAGGGAGGGAGGGAGGGAGGAGGGAGGGAGGGAAGGAGGGAAGGAGGGGAGGAGGAAGAAGGGAGGGGAAGGAGGGAGGGAATAGGGAGGGAGGGAGGAGGGAGGGAGGGAAGGAGGGAAGGAGGGGAGGAGGAAGAAGGGAGGGGAAGGAGGGGAGGAGGAAGAAGGGAGAAGAGGAGTAGGAGGAGGAGGAAGAAGAGAAGAGGAAGAGGAGGAAGAGGAGGAAGAGAGGAAGAGGAGGAAGAGGAGGAGGAGGAGGAGGAGAAGGGAGAAGAGGAGGAAGAGGAAGAAGAGGAGGAAGGGAGGAAGAGGAAGAAGAGGAGGAAGAGGAGGAGTAGGAGGAGGAGGAAGGGAGAAGGAGAAGAGGAGGAAGAGGAAGAAGAGATAGAGAAAGAGGAAGAAGAGGAAGAGGAAGAGGAAGAGGAAGAAGAGGAAGAGGGAGGGGGAAGAAGGAAGAAGAGGAAGAGGGGAAAGAATTACTAGACAAAGAAAGAGGGAGAAGAGGAGGAGGAGGAAGGGAGAAGAGGAGGAGGAGGAAGAAGAGAAGGACCAGGAGGACGACGACGACGACCAGGAGGAAGAGGAGGACCAGGAGGAAGAGGAGGAGAAGGATCAGGATGAGGAGAAAGAAAAGTACCAGACGGGGAGGAAGAGGAAGAGGAAGAGGAAGAGGAAGAGGAAGAGGGAGGGGGAAGAAGGAAGAAGAGGGAAGAGGGGAAAGAATTACTAGACAAAGAAAGAGGAAGAAGAGAAAGAGGAAGAGGGGGAGGTAGAGGAAGAGAAAGAGGAGGAAGAGGAGGAGGTAGAGGAAGAGAAAGAAGAGGAAGAGGAGGAGGTAGAGGAAGAGAAAGAAGAGGAAGAGGAGGAGGTAGAGGAAGAGAAAGAAGAGGAAGAGGAGGAGGTAGAGGAAGAGAAAGAAGAGGAAGAGGAGGAGGAAGAGAAAGAAGAGGAAGGAGGAGGAGGTAGAGGAGGATGAGGTGGTAGAGGAAGAGGAGGTAGAGAAAGAGGAGATAGAGGCAGAGGTAAAGGAAGAGAAAGAGGAGGAAGAGGAGGAAGAGGAAGAAGAGGTAGAAGAGTTAGAGGAAGAAGAGGAAGAGGAAGAGGAGGAAGAGGAAGCTTTAGAGGAAGAGGAAGAGGAAGAGGAAGAGGAAGAGGAAGAGGAGGAAGAGGAAGCTTTAGAGGAAGAGGAAGAGGAAGAGGAAGAGGAGGAAGAGGAAGCTTTAGAGGAAGAAGCCTCCGGACTAGTACAGTGGTAATGTGTCGGCCTCTCATCCGAGGGGTCGGCGGTTCGCGCCCCGCCCAGGCGCGAGAAGTTGCAATTGTCACCTGGAGGTTACTGCTGTGGCCGGGCACCACGGTGGGTAAGGACTAAGCTCATCTGAGTCAGCACCTGCTGACACACTGTTAGCGAGTCGACATTAGTCGGCACAGGCCGGGCTCCCCCATAGCCCAGGCGAGGCTCAGCTTCGCATATCGGACTTATCCTTACTAAGAGGAAGAGGAAGAGGAATTAGAGAAAGAGGAAGAAGAGTTAGAGAAAGAGGAAGAAGAGTTAGAAGAGGAGGAAGAGGAAAAGGATAAGGAAGAAGAGGAAGAAGAGGAGGAAGAGGAAAAGGATAAGGAAGAAGAGGAAGAAGAGGAGGAAGAGGAAGAAGAGGAGGAAGAGGAGGAAGAGGAGGAAGAGGAGGAAAAGGAAGGAGAAAGAGAGAGAATGTAAAAGAACTCGCCTTTCAAATATTCTGGCCAAGATGTGTAACGCCCATTTCTTGATCTTCCACCACGGCAAGTCTGGTCTCTCCTCCTCGTCTACCTGTAACGTCTGGTCTGGCACAGGTCTGTCAGCTACTTGTCGCGTGACCTCCATCCACTGTGTAAAGGTGTCCCGACTCAACAGCTCTAAGGGTAAGTGGTACTGCAAAGGAAGAGAGAATAAGTTAAATTGGGATCATAGAGAGATATTGGAAAACCGATGAATGTAATTTTGTCTAAGACATGATATGCCATGTTACTAAATCCTGATTTGTATTTTTTTTTTTTTTTATTCATTTTATTTTGCAATCATTCAGAAGGCCATATTTATAACATTTACCATTTTCTTTTTATTATATGAAGCCAACATGGTGATTTTATCAGCTGTTATGGCTAACTCTAAATGACATTATAATCAAGATTCATAATATTCAACTAATCTCCCTGAATATCAGGGCTTCTTTCTGTTCCCTTTCCTCCTCCACAAATGACATCCAACCTAGCATATAAAAATGAAATACTTATTATAGTCATAAATGTAGAATCCTGATTAGGAGTATTAGCAGAGGTAAAACATAACCAGCAGAGGACTACGGAAAAAAGGACACACAAGCCCAAGTTACCTGTGTAAGAGCATAGAAGATCTTAAGGATCAGTTTTTGTAGTAACGTCGAATGCTCAGAGGGATCTGGCAGAAGGTGAACGATACGCTCATAACACATTGGCAAAAGCATTCTCATTGCCTCGTGAAGTGGACCCCGCTCTTCCTTCTTTTTATATCTGGGGAAAAAAAGAGGAAATTATTTTTTCTTCCACTGTAAATTAGTGTACAAGAATAAGAAATAATTAAGAACATTTCCTTCACTATCAAGCTATAGCAGAAAATGAAAACTAATCAATCTACCAATATGCTTTTGAATTTAATTAATAACCAACTTGATGAAAATGAACTATACCAAAAAAATTTGTACAATCAACATGCAGAAAGAAGAAAATGTTCACCCAAATGATTGAAGGAAATCAAAGATATTACGAAAATGAATCAGTTGAGGACCATGGAAATGTTCTCCCAAATGCCAATCTTATTTTCCTTTCTAGTGTATTCTCCTTCCTCTGCCCTTATTCCTCTTTCACTCTTTTCTAGGAAGTCCTTTATTATCAGTCCAATCACATATTTGCATGATCTGTACCTGAATAAAAACTATAAAACTAAAAAAGGTATACTATTGGTGCTGTAAAATAATGCTAATAATAATAGTAAAAACTAGTGTGGTAGAAAGAACAGCAGAATCAACAGTTGTAATAGGATTGTAGTATCAATAGCAGCCCAAATTCAATTGATGGTAATAATTTATTGTAGTTGTGGCATTGAAATGTGGCACCAAATTACAAGAAATTAGAACAGCAAATATCAAAGTTTTCATTAGCTACAATCTAACAGATCTGCAGCTTCTCAAATAACTGTACTGTAAACACAAGTGTTAACGCTACATCACAGGTGTGAAATAAACACCTGTCTAAACATCTGAGGTTCTCCACATGTGATTATTCTCAGCACACTTTTATTCAGCTGTGTTATTTCCGCATTTGTTATCTCAATCCAAATCTTATTTCTGATAAATTATCTACCTTCTACCAATATCTAATCTTTAACTACAATTACCATATTTATATTTAGCATTTCATAAGATGCTAATAATAATAAAATAGGGGTCTATACTTTATGGGCATGTCATACTTACATTTTCTGCTTCATTCTAACAATACATGTTGCACATCTGCTTTTAAGCCTAAAGAACCTACACTATAATATGCCAATAATAAAAAAAGGAAAATCCATTACACTTTCTTTATATCCATGGTTTTAGAAAAAAGTCCTTTTTCCAGGGGGAGGAAAACAATTGTAACAACCTGTTCTCTGACACACTCTAGTTAGGTAAAAGACAAAGTACACACAGAATTGTTTTCCCATTGTATTATGTAGCCATTGTAGTATGAACTCATGAGGTCTCCTGATGTAAAATACTAAAAAGTAATAAAAGATTCAGCACAAAAAGACATGCCCTGTCATCTTCTCTTATGCTAGAACTCTGAAGTACTGCAGTAGCTCGTTCTAGGCCCCGTTCTTGATCTTCTATGTAACATACATAAAGACACTTGATCTCAAATTTATTCTTGGTAAATAAATAATGACTAACATTTATATCTTGCAACTCACTCAAAATTCTTGACGAGCTGATATAAGCAGAGGAGACTGCCATTCCAGAGATTTGTGTCGGGATTTTGAAGATAAATACTAATCTTGTCGACAATGGTCGTCCAGCGACCTGGGAAGTCATGTTTGACCATC